TTGATTCGTAATTAATGGTTGATTCGTAATTAATGGTTGATTCGTAATTAATGGTTAATTCGTAATTAATGGTTGATTCGTAATTAATGGTTGATTCGTAATTAATGGTTGATTCGTAAGCGTGCTGCCAAATTTGTTCCTCGTATAAATCTTGGTAATAAATACCGACAAGTTGGTTTAGAAAGACACGTAAGCAAACACTAGGACATATTTATTAGAAAACGTTTCGGTCCCAGGACCGAAACGTTTTCTAATAAATATGTCCTAGTGTTTGCTTACGTATCTTTCTAAACCAATTTGTTTATGTAGTAAAATAGCTAAGAAAAACTTGGAATCATTGGAATCCATGACATAACTGGAGAATGACTCATCTGATCGGCTTCAAATTTCCACCACTGGTGTTATGTTCAGAACACAAGAATCACACTGCCATTGGTTGGCATAAGACCAAGTTTGTTTGTTTTATTAATTAAAAAGTGACATTGAATTTTTTTCCAATAACTAAGGGAAATTTCTTCTGATTGGCTGCTAAATGTTAATGATCGACTTCAAACTTTAACTATTGATGGGTTTTATCTAGAGAATGCCTCTTCTGGTCAGCTTGAAACTTCTAGTATTGCTGTTTCCCTCCAGGGAAACAATATCTTGATGTTAGGTTGTGGAAGTTATCATGTTGTTAGTTTTAATAATCGAGTTTTGTGAAATAATCCAGAATGTTTCTTCCGATCAGAAATAATTACAATTTTTGACTATCCTGGGTTAAGTTAGCTTAACGTTCTTGTATTCTCCGGTAACATTTATGTTTCCTCAAGACCATAGTTACAAAAATTTGTATGTTGTGTACACTAAGGTTACATCAAACTTTTTTAAAAGCTGGTCAGTCTTGAAATACTGGAATTATTGAAATACTGATCATGTGATAATTTCTGAGTGTCGTATCTGATTAGTTTCAACCCTTTCAAATTAATAACTTAATAATTTAACTTCTGAGTGTCTGTCTTCAAGGTTAATGTTCATGTGTATTTTACGATTTTTTTTCCTTGAAAGATCTGAATTAAGTATGGGCTGTGTAAACTTAATTTACCATTTTTTTTTTAATCAAGAAATCTGGATATTAGTTTCCTGAAGATAATTTGTGAATGACTCTTCTGAAACCCCTCAAATCTACAGCGTTAATTTTAAACTGCATTATCAAGGCGTGCGGCGCTCTCAACGCTTCCAGTGACGAGCATCCAGACACAGGGGACTGGGGTTATGGATACGGGGATACCTTTCTCGGGTCGCGCAACGATCGAAATACATTGGGCTGTCATAGTTAAAAAAAAAAAAAGAAGCAAACCACGGGTGGGGTTAGAACCCGCGATCAGAGATTCTCAAAACTTGCATTTGTAGTCACAGTGGTGCTTATGCTAACCTACCTATGGTGTAGAAATATACCTAGTTGGATGAATCTTATTGTGGCTAGCTGGTCCAGTGGCTAACGCGACGGTCTGGAGTTTTATGACTCTCTGATCGCGGGTTCTAACCCCACCCGTGGTATGGTTTGTATACAATCGTGTCATTACGATTTCGTGAGTACTGTCATAGTTGATTTAGTTTCACCGCGGGCCAATACGAGTGCGTGTCATCTGCACACAACCCAAAGTTACACGTTAAAAAAAACTCTGAACACAAGAGCAATGAGATACGCACACATACCTCGGTGTATATAACCTTATCAGTTGTGTGTATAACACAAGCTTGCATGTTTGCGAGCAGATGAGTGACTGTTTCTTTCCACAATGACCCCATGGAGCACACTTGGCCCTGTAATCTATTGATATAATAAGTCTGGTTGTACCTCACTGGTGCATTCTATTTGTTGGAAATTCCATCCAACTTGAAGCTGCTGCCGCTTTTTACTTTTGGATTTATTTTTATTTATGTTTTTATTTTTTTAATTTTTCTATATTTTGTGTGTATTTTTAATAATTGGACATTTCATCCTGGTTACCATCGATGACTTTCTCATTGTTTACAACCTGTGTTGGGCGAGATACTTCTGGAATATTTGTGAATAATTATTGTGTTAACAATTCGCCAGCCAGTAACTTCTTCTCTGTATAGGACTGGTGAAGGACTGGGCCACGGGGGCGTTGACCCCTGGAACACCCTCCAGGAACACCCTCTAGGAACACCCTCCAGGAACACCCTCCAGGAACACCCTCCAGGAACACCCTCCAGGAACACCCTCCAGGAACACTCCAGGAACACCCTCCAGGAACACCCTCCAGGAACACCCTCCAGGAACACCCTCCAGGAACACTCCAGGAACACCCTCCAGGAACACCCTCCAGGAACACCCTCCAGGAACACCCTCCTTCAAGAACACTCTCCAGGAACACCCTACTCCAAGAACACCCTCCAGGAACTCCCTCCAAGAACACCCTCCAGGAACACCCTCCAGGAACGCCCTCCAAGAAATCCCCCCAGGAACACCCTCCAAGAACACCCTCCAGGAACACCCTCCAAGAACACCCTCCAGGAACACCCTCCAAGAACACCCTCCAGGAACACCCTCCAAGAAATCCCTCCAGGAACACCCTCCAAGAACACCCTCCAGGAACACCCTCCAAGAACACCGTCTAAAAACATCCTCCAAGAACACCCTCCAAGAACACCGTCTAAAAACACCCTACAAGAACACCCTCCAAGAACACCCTCTAGGAACACCCTCCAGGAACACCCTCCAGGAACACCCTCCAGGAACACCCTCCAAGAACACCCTCCAGGAACACCCTCCAAGAACACCCTCCTAAAATACCCTCCAGGAACACCCTCCAAGTACACCCTCCAAGAGCACCCTCCAAGAACACCCTCCAGGAACACCCTCCAAGAACACCCTCCAAGAACACCCTCCAGGAACACCCTCCAAGAACACCCTCCAAGAGCACCCTCCAAGAACACCTTACAGGAACACCCACAAGAACACCCTCCAGGAACACCCTCCAGGAACACCTTCCAGGAACACCCTCCAAGTACACCCTCCAAGAGCACCCTCCAAGAACACCCTCCAGGAACACCCTCCAAGAACACCCTCCAAGAACACCCTCCAGGAACACCCTCCAAGAACACCCTCCAAGAGCACCCTCCAAGAACACCTTACAGGAACACCCTCCAGGAACACCCTCCAGGAACATCCTCCAGGAACACCCTCCAGAAACACCTTCCAGGAACACCCTCCAAGAACACCCTCCAGGAACACCCTCCAGAAACACCCTCCAGGAACACCCTCCAGGAACATCCTCCAGGAACACCCTCCAGGAACACCCTAAAGGAACACCCTAAAGGAACACCCTCCAAGAACACCCTCCTAGAATACCCTCCAGGAACACCCTCCAGGAACATCCTCCAAGAATACCCTCCAGGGACACCCTCCAGGAACACCCTCCAAGAACACCCTCCAGGAATACCCTCCAGGAACACTCCTAGAATACCCTCCAGGAACACCCTCCAAGAATACCCTCCAGGAACGCCCTGCAGGAGCATCCTTCAGGAGCATCCTTCAGGAACACCCTCCAAGAACACCCTCCAGGAACACCCTCCAAGAACACCCTCCAAGAGCACCCTCCAGGAACACCCTCCAGGAACACCCTCCAGGAACATCCTCTAGGAACACCCTCTAAGAACACCCTCCAAGAACACCCTCCAGGAACACCCTCTAGGAACGCCCTCCAAGAAATCCCTCCAAGAACACTCTCCAAGAACACCCTCCAGGAACACCCTCCAAGAACACCCTCCAGGAACACCCTCCAAGAAATCCCTCCAGGAACACCCTCCAATAACACCCTCCAGGAACACCCTCCAAGAACACCCTCCAAGAACACCCTCCAGGAACACTCCAAGAACACCCTCCAGGAACACCCTCCAAGAACACCCTCCAAGAACACCCTCTAAAAACATCCTCCAAGAACACCCCCAAGAACACCTTCCAAGAACACCCTACAGGAACACCCTCCATTAAAACCCTCCAAGAACACCCTCCAAGAGCACCCTCTAGGAACACCCTCCAGGAACACCCTCCAGGAACACCCTCCAGGAACACCCTCCAAGAACACCCTCCAGGAACACCCTCCAAGAACACCCTCCAAGAGCACCCTCCAGGAACACCCTCCAGGAACACCCTCTAAGAACACCCTCCAGGAACATCCTCTAGGAACACCCTCTAAGAACACCCTGCAAGAACACCCTCCAAGAACACCCTCCAGGAACATCCTCTAGGAACACCCTCCAGGAACACCCTCCAGGAACACCCTCCAAGAACACCCTCCAAGAGCACCCTCCAGGAACACCCTCCAGGAACACCCTCTAAGAACACCCTCCAGGAACATCCTCTAGGAACACCCTCTAAGAACACCCTGCAAGAACACCCTCCAAGAACACCCTCCAGGAACACCCTCCAGGAACACCCTCCAGGAACTCCATCCAGGAACACCCCCCAGATATGTAGGCTGGCGAAACGTTTCCACAATAAAGATTCCGAAATACTGCACAAGTATCTCTGTCTTCAACTTGTCGGTTTTCTAAATCATTTACATCACTTACAATGTTCAGCTTCAAGGACGTCTTCAGTGTTGACAACCTTCGTCTTTCATGAGCTCTGGCATCCATTTAGTAGCATTTTCTTAGAACTTTATCTAGTTTTTTATGTCCATGCTCTTCTTTAAGGCGTGTAAACCATACCACAGCTGCATTTTCTAATTCTTGGTCTAAAGTGAAGAGTTCTTAGCCTGTCGTAATGAGTTTATTAATTTATACAATGGTGATAATCTGTTATTCATAATTGCTTCTTAATACCTGTTTCTGATTACAGTATTGTATTACAAGTCTATGTTGTTACACGTGAGAGAGAGAGAGAGAGAGAGAGAGAGAGAGAGAGAAGAGAGAGAGGAGAGAGAGAGAGAGAGAGAGAGAGAGAGAGAGAGAGAGAGATACTCATCTTGCCGGTGTGGTATCCACAGTTGCGGAGAAGTGTCTTGATGAGCGAGCAGCGAAGCAGGAACAACTGGCCAACGGAGAGCATGTATACGTGCCCACCTGCCAGGCGGATGGCTCCTACGCCCCGGTACAGTGCCACAACTTCACCTTCTACTGCTGGTGCTCCAGACTTGATGGGAAGCTCATCCCCCACACCATTCAGAAGGATCGCCCTCCAGAGTGTTCAGGTGAGTTGACATGAGAAGGATGGGTAAGTGAATCAGGTTGGATGAGTAGCTAGTGCCCAGGTGATGAAATACGGGTGAGTAAGACTCAGACTTGGAAGAATGTGCCTGGGTGATTAGAAATAGGGGTAAGAATGGGGATTATAAGATTGTATATATACCGTATGGTTTAGCAAGTACGCTCGCGCGCGTGTGTGTGTGTTTGTGTGTGTGTGTGTGTTTGTGTGCGTGCGTTGTGTGTGTGTGTGTGTGTGTGTGTGTGTGTGTGTGTGTGTGTGTGTATCAATTCGGAGATATTAATGTACTGTATATTTGATTTGCAGTCTTCTTGGGACTTGACTGTATACAATACATAGCTGGGTATATATGTGAGCTTAAAGCGAGTATAAGTTGATGGATAAGCGAGTCTGGCATATATAGGAGAATGAAAGCATATTCTTATACGAACCTTTCGGGTTGCATATATAAAAGAATATTATTGGGCTTTCTAAGTTGGTGTGAGGATGGAAGGTGTAAGTGATGCAGGAGGTGTGGATAAAGAAACCCAGAGGTGCACGTACGTGAATATCCAGGCGTCTAGTGTGGATAGTGTTGCGAGTGTGCAAGTTCAGGAGTGTTACTCTTTTGATTTCTTAACGTAAATAAAAATCCTGGATGCTAGGGAGGTAAACAACCTGCCTAGTGTATGCACTGCGTAATAAGGAGTGTTACAGGGCAAGTATGTGAGTGTGGATATACTTGTGTTTCAAGCGTGATCTAAGGAAGAAGATGAAGCAGCGGTCACTGTTGTCTCACTTATGGTCACCCATCCACCGCCCCTGACGGAGGAGCACTTCACGCCTGATGAAGGCACTGACGAAGGGGAGTGTTGGTGAGGGCAGAAATCTAGCTCCTGGCTCATTTTTTGAGGCTCTAGCTCTTGGGCATTTTCATTCGAGTTAAGCTTAAAGGTTCTCTTTTTTTCATATACTGTACAATAATTCAGGAATGACGAATAAGGCGCAGTAGAAGAGACTAACGTTTGTAAATTTTTTTCACAGAAGAGAGTAAGGGAGAAGGTGAGAGAGAGGGAGTGAGATGAAGTGAGGAAGGGAGAAGAACAAAGAGAATGACGGATTGCCATAATTAATGTTGTATTATATTGTTATCCTGAGGTGCAGCTACCACTCATGTCTGGCACACAGTGCTCCCTCATGTCTGGCACACAGTGCTCCCTCATGTCTGGCACACAGTGCTCCCTCATGTCTGGCACACAGTGCTCCCTCATGTCTGGCACTCAGTGCTCCCTCATGTCTGGCACACAGTGCTCCCTCATGTCTGGCACACAGTGCTCCTCATGTCTGGCCACAGTGCTCCCTCATGTCTGGCACACAGTGCTCCCTCATGTCTGGCACACAGTGCTCCCTCATGTCTGGCACACAGTGCTCCCTCATGTCTGGCACTCAGTGCTCCCTCATGTCTGGCACACAGTGCTCCCTCATGTCTGGCACACAGTGCTCCCTCATGTCTGGCACACAGTGCTCCCTCATGTCTGGCACACAGTGCTCCCTCATGTCTGGCACTCAGTGCTCCCTCATGTCTGGCACACAGTGCTCCCTCATGTCTGGCACACAGTGCTCCCTCATGTCTGGCACACAGTGCTCCCTCATGTCTGGCACACAGTGCTCCCTCATGTCTGGCACACAGTGCTCCCTCATGTCTGGCACACAGTGCTCCCTCATGTCTGGCACACAGTGCTCCCTCATGTCTGGCACACAGTGCTCCCTCATGTCTGGCACTCAGTGCTCCCTCATGTCTGGCACACAGTGCTCCCTCATGTCTGGCACACAGTGCTCCCTCATGTCTGGCACTCAGTGCTCCCTCATGTCTGGCACACAGTGCTCCCTCATGTCTGGCACACAGTGCTCCCTCATGTCTGGCACACAGTGCTCCCTCATGTCTGGCACTAAGTGCTCCCTCATGTCTGGCACACAGTGCTCCCTCATGTCTGGCACACAGTGCTCCCTCATGTCTGGCACTCAGTGCTCCCTCATGTCTGGCACACAGTGCTCCCTCATGTCTGGCACACAGTGCTCCCTCATGTCTGGCACTCAGTGCTCCCTCATGTCTGGCACACAGTGCTCCCTCATGTCTGGCACACAGTGCTCCCTCATGTCTGGCACACAGTGCTATCTCACGTCTGGTACTCAGTGCAGCATCATGTCTGGCATTCAGTACAAACTCATGTGTGGCATTGAGTCCAACTTCATGTCTGGCACTGAGTGCAACCTCATGTCTTGCACTAAGTGATACCTCATGTCTGGCACTCAGTGCAACCTCATGTCTGGCACTGAAGCAACCTCATGCCTGGCACTGAGTGCTACTTCATGTCTGGCACTATCTGCTACTTCATGTCTGGCACTGAGTGGCACTCCCTAACTACTTCTTTAACACAGTTAAGGTACGAACAGACGTCTTCAAGGGGCCAGGTCAAGGTTTGGCAGAAACTAACTCGACACCGCCACCAGCCTTGAAACGCTGCACCCAGCTCCTCACTGAACGCTCACACACACCAACATTCTCCACTATAATGAGAACCTTCAAAACTAGGGAGGCCAAGCCCATGATGACACTCTTCAGGTCACTTGTTCTATCTAGGCTGGAATATTGCTGCACACTAACAGCACCTTTCAAGGCAGGTGAAATTGCCGACCTAGAAAATGTACAGAGAACTTTCACGGCGCGCATAACGGAGATAAAACACCTCAATTACTGGGAGCGCTTGAGGTTCCTAAACCTGTATTCCCTGGAACGCAGGAGGGAGAGATACATGATTATATACACCTGGAAAATCCTAGAGGGACTAGTACCGAACTTGCACACGAAAATCACTCACTACGAAAGCAAAAGACTTGGCAGACGATGCACCATCCCCCCAATGAAAAGCAGGGGAGTCACTAGCACGTTAAGAGACCATACAATAAGTGTCAGGGGCCCGAGACTGTTCAACTGCCTCCCAGCACACATAAGGGGGATTACCAACAGACCCCTGGCAGTCTTCAAGCTGGCACTGGACAAGCACCTAAAGTCAGTTCCTGATCAGCCGGGCTGTGGCTCGTACGTTGGTTTGCGTGCAGCCAGCAGCAACAGCCTGGTTGATCAGGCTCTGATCCACCAGGAGGCCTGGTCACAGACCGGGCCGCGGGGGCGTTGACCCCCGGAACTCTCTCCAGGTAAACTCCAGGTAAACTATTTCTTTCGTCTGGTGCCCAGCTTTGTGAAGCCCTATGATTTGAGCTATAGTTTCAGATGCTAAAGACTTCCTTTTACCCATAATCAAACATGTATAGCTCCTAAACCAAACGGAACACCAGCAAAAAGATGGGGCGGATGAGAGACAACAGTGCAACACTTCCTCTCACCACGGCACCCACGTGAGCAATGAGAAGTCACTGTGAAGTGTGGTGAAAGGCCGTGACATCATGCTAATGGCTGCTACCAAGCAGAATGCACTGACTAAAAAAGACCCCCCCTGTATGGTAGGCCTTTGATTTTCGTCATGGCATTATGCCGGGGCGCTCACCCGACGTAATGCCATGACGAGTACTGTATATATATATATATATATATATATATATATATATATATATATATATATATATATATATATATATATATATATATATACAGAAAACTTAAGGAATTAAAATCTAGAACGGAGTATAAAATAAATTCTAAGTACACAGTAGAGTGATAACCTGATGTGAAGGACTTGGAGTGATAATGTTACAGGATCTCACCTTCAAGGATCACAACACTGTTAATATGACAAGGGCGAAGAAAATTATGCAGTGGAAAATGAGAACCTTCAAAACAAGGAATACCAAGACAGTGATGTACTCCTTGGGCGACAGTCGAGAAGGATATATTATAATTTACACCTGAAAAACCCTAGAGGGACTGGTCCCAAATCTACACATACATATCATTACCTACGGAAGCAAAAGACTCGGCAGATGGTGTAACATCCCACCTAATGAAAAGCAGGGGTGACCTGAGTACACTAAGAGTAAACACAGTAAGTGTCAGTGGCCCAAGACTGTCCAACAACCTCCCAGCATACATAAGGTGGATTACCCATTGACCCCTGGTAGTCTTCAAGATGGAACTGGATAGATACCCAAAATCAGTATCTGGCCAGCCCGGCTGTAGTTCGTGCGTTGGATTGCGTGCGGCCAGCAGGAACAACCTGGTTGATCAGATCCTGACCCACCAGGAGGCCTCGTCATGGACTGGGCCGCGGGGGCGTTCATCCCCGGAACACCCTCCACAAATAATTTACATCGCAAAGAATTCCTCCGAGCGACTGGATGGGGTGACCATGAGAAGACATACATATTTTCCGAGCCTAGAGGTAGTTTTCACCTGTGGACGAGGAAGGTGGGAGAGGGACTCTTGTGAGTTATAAACACTGGCAAACACTACATTTAAAGAGTCGAGGAAAGGTGTTGAGGGCGTGGTGAGAGTGTTGAGAGCGTGATGAAAGTGTTGAGAGCGTGGTGAGAGTGTTGAGAGCGTGGTGAGTGTGTTGAGAGCGTGGTGTAAGTGTTGAATGAGTGAACTGACTCGGGGACGCAGTCATTCATACGAACATAAAGGAGGAACACTGCAGCAGTCCTATTGGCCCATACTAGGCACGTCCTTCACAAGCCATCCCACTAACAATATACTTGCCCAACCCAATTTTCAATTTTCATTGCGTTTAATAGTGGTGATAGAGACTGTCTCTCTATCACCACTAGCACACAATACTCTAGGTGAAATGACGTGTTTTCCAGGATGACGAGACAAAGTATAGAAAAAGCTTCTGTTTTGGAGACAACATTTCGCTCTCTGTAGAACTTGATGAGAGCAGAGCGAAACGTTTCCACAACTGATGCTGTACAACTTGTCTCCCCACCAGCATTGCAATAACAAAGCTAGTGAGACCAGGTGACCGGGATCACTTTAACTTACAAGAGAGTTTCTGTAACAAACTATTGCACTGACCAATCACACTGAAGAACGCTCTGCAATACAACGTTTTAAGTGAGACAGCGTCTCGACCTGTTAAAATCTTGATCAGTCATGACGCGATATGTTGTGTGTCTACAGCAGTGTGTCAGTGCGTGTCTTGTCTTCAGCAGGGTTAATTACCCGTGATCAGACCATCCCCTTTCTCCCTCATTAACATAAATGTTGTATAATTAGTCGTGGCTGTTTTAACTATTTAATTACCTCTAGTAACGGACCATTAAATAAAGTTGATGTAAACTCCTCCAAACAAATTGCTTTTAATTTCGTGAAGGACCACTAAGGCACGTGGACAGTAGGAGGTAATCACGTTTGATCCAGGGAAGAGGAAGAGGAGGGTGGCTCCATCTTTTCTGGATCAAGAGCCCTTCACCGGGATCAAGGCCTCCCCCTCCCTACTTCAAGCACGTTAATGAACTTAAACTCTTATTTATCCCTTTGACTGACATTCCAGTTATAAAGGTTTTGACAGCTCATTAAATGTCAGGGAAGAAAGTCTTTATATAGCTTATATATAGCTCTTAATATGGCCTAGTTAACGTTAAGTCTATATAACTAGTGATTATTACATTAGGAGTGATTTGTGACTCACGACGTTAAAAGTGGCATTAGAGGATAATTATGTTGATGCCTGTAAGTCATTGTTGAGGCTGTGTGTGTGCTCTGCAAGACTGACTAGTGCTGCTGTCTGTAGGAGTGGTGTATCAGTGTTTGACAGACTGGTTTCTGTATGAGTGGTGAATCAGTGTTTAACAGACTGGTGTCTGCATGAGTGATGTATCAGTGTTTGACAGACTGGTGTCTACAGACTGGTGTCTACAGACTGGTGTCTGTATGAGTGGTGTATCAGTGTTTGACAGACTGGTGTCTACAGACTGGTGTCTGTATGAGTGATGTATCAGTGTTTGACAGACTGGTGTCTACAGACTGGTGTCTGTATGTAACGCGACGGGCTGGAGTTTTGAGACTCTATGACCGCGGGTTAATCCCGGCCAGGGTAGTGATGTATCAGTGTTTGACAGACTGGTGTCTAAATGGCACAGCTGGTGTCTGTATGAGTGGATGTATCAGTGTTTGACAGGTGACTGGTGTCTACAGACTGGTGTCTGTATGAGTGGTGTATCAGTGTTTGGCAGACTGGTGTCTACAGACTGGTGTCTGCATGAGTGATGTATCAGTGTTTGACAGACTGGTGTCTACAGACTGGTGTCTGTATGAGTGGTGTATCAGTGTTTGACAGACTGGTGTCTACAGACTGGTGTCTGCATGAGTGATGTATCAGTGTTTGACAGACTGGTGTCTACAGACTGGTGTCTACAGACTGGTGTCTGTATGAGTGATGTATCAGTGTTTGGCAGACTGGTGTCTACAGACTGGTGTCTGCATGAGTGGTGTATCAGTGTTTGACAGACTGGTGTCTACAGACTGGTGTCTGTATGAGTGGTGTATCAGTGTTTGACAGACTGGTGTCTGTATGAGTGGTGTATCAGTGTTTGACAGACTGGTGTCTACAGACTGGTGTCTGTATGAGTGGTGTATCAGTGTTTGACAGACTGGTGTCTACAGACTGGTGTCTGTATGAGTGGTGTATCAGTGTTTGACAGACTGGGTGTCTGCCATGAGGGGATGTATCAGTGTTTGGCAGACGTGTCTACGACTGGTGTCTGTATGAGTGGTGTATCAGTGTTTGACAGACGGGTTTGTCTACAGACTGGTGTCTGTATGAGTGGTGTATCAGTGTTTGACAGACTGGTGTCTACAGTCTGGTGTCTACGGGTTTACTGGTGTCTGTATGAGTGGTGTATCATGTTGCAGTGTTTACAGACTGTGTCTGTATGTGGTGTTCATGTTTGCAGACTGGTGTCTACACTGGTCTTATGGGGGGTCTACAGGTGTCTATGAGTGATGTATCAGTGTTTGACAGACTGGTGTCTGTAGAGTGGTGTTCATACAGACGGGTGTTACAGACTGTTCTGTATATTGTATCAGTGTTTGACAGACTGGTGTCTACAGACTGGTGTCTACAGACTGGTGTCTACAGACTGGTGTCTGCATGAGTGATGTATCAGTGTTTGACAGACTGGTGTCTACAGACTGGTGTCTGTATGAGTGATGTATCAGTGTTTGGCAGACTGGTGTCTACAGACTGGTGTCTACAGACTGGTGTCTGCATGAGTGATGTATCAGTGTTTGGCAGACTGGTGTCTAGTCTGCTGAGAGTGATGTATCAGTGTTTGGCAGACTGGTGTCTACACTGGGTCTACACTGGTTCTGTTGAGGGTCTACAGATGGTGTCTACAGACTGGTGTCTGTATGAGTGATGTATCAGTGTTTGGCAGACTGGTGTCTACAGGAACTGGTGTTCGTTCTGAGTATGTGTTTGGGGTTGTCTACAAACTGGTGTCTGCATGAGTGATGTATCAGTGTTTGGCAGACTGGTGTCTACAAACTGGTGTCTGTATGAGTGATGTATCAGTGTTTGACAGACTGGTGTCTGTATGAGTGATGTATCAGTGCTTGGAGAACTAGAGCTTGTATCTGGTGTGTGTATAAGGCAACTAATGTTTAACTTGTACAGTCTTACAACTAATATCACTCAGACTGCCGGATGACTTCCCATGATATATTCAGTGAAACAGACAAGTGACGCAACGTGATGAATAAATTCAGTTGAATTTTAAGTAAATTTTTGACCCTATTATAACACAGTGATTTTTCTTTGAATCTGTTGATGATACATGCCTGTGAGTTGTAGTGAACTGTTGACGAGTTTCAACTTTGTGATGCTACTGTTGTTGACAAGTTTAATTACTAACGTCCTAATTACAGTGAGATTTTTTTTCTTTCCCCCTTTTCTTTACTGACCTTCCCTACCCCTTACACCCTCTCTCTCTCTCCTTCCTCTAACTTTTCCCTTCCCCCTCTCACTGTTCCCTGAACACTTGACACTGTACACTAACTCAATACACTAACTCACACTTCTTTAACCTCTACTGTCCCTCTACTTCCTCTTTTCTAACGCTTCGTTTCCCTTCATCACGTCTTTATTTCTTCATTACCCTTTTTACTACTACCTTTCTCTCTCTCTCTCTCTCTCTCTCTCTCTCTCTTCTCTTCTCTCTCTCTCTTCTCTCTCCTCTCTCTCTCTCCTCTCTCTCTCTCTTCTCTATGTAAAACTTTTCTCTATTATCAATTATTTACATTTGTAATTTACTCTGGGATTGTGGTGTTCTTATTTTTATTTCTTCCCCTCTTTCCTTCTATTCCCTCTCTTCCGCTTATTTCCCCTTCGCTTGCTTTGTTTCCCCTTCTTTTTCCGCCTTCCCTCCTGCTTTCTCTCTCCTACCCACTCCCTGTTTTCCTTCTCGTATCTCGCTTCCTTGTCTTCTCCTCTCCTTCCTTGTTTTGTTCTTTTCTCTCTTCCCTCTAATCATCTGTTTCTTTCCTCCCCACCTCCCATTTCCTCTTTTTCCTCTCGTTTACTCTGATTTTGTTTAATCTCTAACGTTTAACACACTACTTAAACCCCTCCCCCCCCTTCCCTTACCCCTCTCCCTCTCCTTCTCTCCCTCTACCCCTCCCTCTCCCTCACCCCTCTCCCTCACCCCTCTCCTTCTCTCCCTCACTCCTCTCCTTCTCTCCCTTACCCCTCTCCCTCTCTCTTACTCTCTCTCCTGTCCCTCTCTCCTCTTCTCTCCCTCTCTCTCCTCTTCCTCTCTCCTCTCCCTCTCTCCTCTCCCTTGCTCCCAGGAGACCCAACATCAACACCGGCCCCGGAGCTGCCTCAACCAGGCAAGTCGAAGAGTGTAGGTGGACCGCGGGTACCTGCGGTCCATACCCTCATGTCCCTGTCGACTGCCACACCCACGGCAAGCACACGCCCACGCCCACGCCCGCCCCAGCCTCGCCCCAGTGCGTCTCTCTCCCCATGCGTGCGTCGTGTCTTCCGTCTGCCCACTCCCCTCTCAGCACTCCCCTCTCAGCACTTCCCTCTCAGCACTCCCCTCACTCTCCGTGCTTGTCTGGTCTCCCAGACCCCCACCATACTTGGGACCGCCGCACACCCTTCCTCCCTCTTCCTCTTCTCTCTTCCTTTCTCTCTGCGTCACAGTATTCTTTACCCTCTCGTTGCATGCTGCCTGCCACACAGCACAGTCACCCTCAGAATGAATATTGGTTGATGTAGTTAACAATACCCGCTCTTCCAGGCTCCTCGCTAACACTACAGAGAAAACGGTATTTATTAATTGGGATGACTATTGTCCGGTTTTACCTGCCTACTGACTAGTTGAGAAGACGTATCACATGCAACAAACGTTTCGCCTACACAGTGGGTTTCTTTAGTCGAATGCAGAGGAGCCAGCAGAAATTGTGGAGATGTAAAGATGTATTCAGTCCATCATCCTCGTTCTTTACATCTCTACTTCTGTTGCCTCCTTTATATTCGACTGAAGAAGCCTACTGTGTAGGCGATACGTTTCGGAATAAAGATACCTAACTGTTGCACATGTGTCTTCACAACTTGTCTGTATCATAAACCATTATCACATTACCACCGGTGTGTACTACTTGAGGACTGAGCCAGGAACAGCTGGTGAAATGTGTTTGCAATGAGTGGCTACCAGGCATTGATGGGCAGAATCTGTCACAGCTTGCTACTGACGTACGTGCATCGTGGTTACTTGTTGCAATATTGACTGACAGAGTCAAGGACATCTGTCGCAATAGAGCATTTTTTTTGCATGAAGAATGTGTTTTTTATATATGTGAAAAACTAGGAGCAATTATATATAGAATATATATTATATATATATTTATATATATATATATATATTATATATATTTATATATTATATTATATATATTATTTATATCAGTTTTCTTCTTACAGGCTTAATACGCGCGTCAGTTGGTATAGGGGAGGTAGCCAGGTGGTGCCAGGTGGTGCCAAGTGCAGCCAACGAAATATCTTCACAAGACTTGTCTTCAATTTGTGGGTTATTTGTGAACAGCTGGTCACTGGTAACAGTGTCAGCAGGTAAAGGGAAACAGCATTTAAATACCGACATGATGGCTAAAACAAAGGCAGTATAATTCGATTCGTTATTGACATCGTTTCGCCCACACAGTGGGCTTTGTCAGGCCATAAACAGATCTACCTGGGGATAGAGGACGTGTATATATCTAACGATGGTAGTGAAGTGAAGAGTCAGATAACAGATTTGACAAATATTTAACTGAGAAGGGGTTGGATTCGAGAAAGACCTCCCTAGCTTGGGCCTGCTGCAAGAAAATATCTGTTTTAGGAATGAGCATTCTTCCTCAAGAAACTCATTACTGCAGATATGGTTCCTCTACTGCTCCTAGTGTTAGCAGTAGAGGAAGATCGTACTGGCAGGTGTGCGGTAGATTTTGATACGTATTCATGGTCAGATGGATGGAGTACAACATCGAGGAAAGGTAGAGTACCGTCGACTTACTCTTCGAGGGTGAGCCAGATAGACTGCGCGACCTACTAAGCTTGTGTTGGGGCGGCGGAGACGTCGAATCCTATGGGAGTTATGACAAGAATGTCATCACCCTAACGGAGCCAGGCGACAGAGGAAGGTATGATAGAGGAAGAATCTCTCAACTTCAAGATGTTCCATGCAGAGGTGAACTTAGTGGTGAACCCTCGGTAGACGGAAAGTCTGTTGAAAGAATTTTCAAATGAGAAACAGGTAAAATTAACACAGTTTAGTGAGATCGATGGTTGAAATGGGGAGGTCGAGGGTGTGGTCAATTTTCCATCGTAGGAGATTGATCATTTGTGCTGAGGGAACTTTAGTATATAGGGATGTCACATCTAGGCTGAAGAGTTTCTTATTTCCGATGTTTGTTTCAGATGCGATTGAGAACACCAGAATGTTTGAAATATGCGTGAGCGAAGCTGTAAGACAGGCAGATAATACAATAATAAATATTCTAGTCTTTGGAAAATTTATTTCATCATTTGCAGTGTGGTGCGCCAGTGTCACGAGGTCACACATACGAGAATGTCACGAGGCCACACATACGAGTATGTCACGAGGCCACACATACGAGTATGTCACGAGGTCACACATACGAGTATGTCACGAGGCCACACATACGAGTATGTCACGAGGCCACACATACGAGTATGTCACGAGGTCACACATACGAGTATGTCACGAGGTCACACATACGAGTATGACACGAGGCCACACATACGAGTATGTCACGAGACCACACATACGAGTATGTCACGAGGTCACACATACGAGTATGTCACGAGGTCACACATACGAGTATGTCACGAGGCCACACAATATATATCACGAAGTCGCACAGTAGCAAAGTGTCTTCGTAATTTTAACATGCCAAGGACGCTTTTTAACTAGTAAGTTTATTCAGGTATACACACAGTTACGTAGATTATTTTGTATCATACATAGCAGCATATGTGTAGAGAACCTAGGATAACCCAAAAAAGTCAGAGTGACTTATTTCCATTGGGGTCTTATGACATTGCAATAGATTGTTTTATATTATTATATATATATATATATATATATTTATATTATATATTATATTTTATATATATATATATAATGCCTATTCAGTGACTAAAGTATTTTTATCTGTTGGTGTGAAAGGTCATGTGGAAACCTTAATATCTCTAGTATAGTCGATAGGATTTAAACCCCATTAACTTGTACTGAAGAGGTTTCGTTCAAAGATCACATCTCTAGAAAAACTTGTGATGTGTGGTTATACATATTGTAATGTTGCAAGTCTCAGGGGTTGTGCGGGTTTGGACTGGCGACCCACAAGAAGCATCACCAGGGATGTATCTTGGATGGGTTTCAAGTTTTTCTACTCTCACAGCCCGGCTTGCCTGGTGCTTGCCTGGTCAACGAGGCTGTTCCAGCTGGCAGCCTGCTGAGCCCATATAGCCATAAGTCTGGTTGATCCCGCACTTGGCAGAAGAAATCGTCTAGTTTCCTCTTGAAGACTTCTGCACTTGTTCCAGGATTGTTTCTGATAGCTTCTGGTAAGATGTTAAAGAGTCTGGGGCTACGTATGTTAATACAGTGTTCTCTTATTGTGTCCACGGTGACCCTGCTTTTCACTGGGTTTGTTTTACACACTATTCCACATCTGTCACTGCAGTATGTTATGGCAGTATGCAGGTTTGGTCCTCAACTACTTTCCATGTATGAAGTTTTATTGAAAAGTTCCTGGATTGCAGCAAAAAAAAAATATCTCCCTGGAAGTACTGAATTGTGAGGCTATACACTAATTCCAGCACATCTCCCACTTCTCAAAACATTTCTGGAACTCTTCTCTCCTAATGGCATTTAGCACGACCTGTGATTCTACTTGAATCTCCTCCTCGTTAAAACACCATCCCTTGAGTGCCAGTTTTATTTTTGGTAAGAGAAAAAAGTCGCAGCGAGGTTGATCTGGGGAGTAAGAAGGGTCTGGAATGACCTCCATGATTGTGGTCAGAAAGCAATGGTCTTTCTGGTCTTGAGTTGGAAAATGAGCGAATTTCGCAGCCTGATTTTCAAATTTTCAGTCAAAATACTTTGATACGACCCATAAGAATTTCCCACAGCTCTTACAACGTCCTGGAGACTCTGATGACGATTTTCCTCAATTGCCTTCCTCATTTTTCTAATGTTGGCGTCCGTTTTTGTCGTTGATGGACGACCAGAGCGTTCATTATCCTCAGCTGACGTTCATCCAGCTTTGAATCGAGAAAACCATTCAGAACAGTGTGTCCTCCTACCCATTGCTGTGTGAGTTTCACTAGCCACTCTACCGCACTTGAAACACACACGCACACACGCCACACACACACACGCACACCACACACACACAAAACACACACACACACACACACACACACACACACACACACACACACACACACACACACAACACACACACACAAGCTGTTCTTTTTTAAAACATTCCATTCTGTTACACAAAAAATTGCAAGAAAACACTGACATGATAAAAAAAAGTCCATCTAAAAACAACAGATGACCGACCACACTGAGTGAACTGAGCACCATGTCATACATCTCTCTGTCCTTCACTCCAGCGAGTACATATTTAGAAGTCTGAGGCAGTCTAGTAATTTAAGTGGCTCTATGTGGCCATAAATGTTCTTTGAATCTGTTGTAGCTCTGATATCTCTTTTGCCCTGAATGGAGGTGTCAACACTGAACAATACTCCAAGCAAGAGAGCCCAAGAGAGTTGAAAAAAGTGCCAATGCTGGCATTATTTCCTTTATTTTGAAAGTCTTTATTATCCATCTCTATCATTTTCTTGGTCGTAGCATTGTCCTTGTGTTCTTTGACATGTTCCTTTCGTTCTATTTAGTGATCATATTGGTCTCTTTTGAGATCATTCTTTCCATATCTAAGCATTTCGAACTTGTCACCACTGCCCACTTTAAAGCCTTGCTTATATCTTCGTGTAATATTTTCGTCTCTTCTACCAAGGTAATTTTCATACTGATTTTGGTATTTGCAGATAATGTCGTGAAACTGTGGTGACTAGTTTCAATCATGTTTGCTCTGACGATAAGACAAAATGAAGGCGCTTGGACTGAGCTTTTCACTTCGCTAATGTTGGATTTTGCTCTGTTTACTATCACTCTTTGTGTTCCATCTGTCAACGTTAAAGATCCATTTGCCTAATTTCCTTGTTATACCTGTAGCTCTCAGTTTGTGTGCAGTCACTCCATGGTCGCCATCTATGGCGTCTGTCACTGTCCAGTAGACTGGATAAGAGTTCAGGGTTTTCAAAGTGGCTTTAATGCCAGGAATACCTTACTACCCTCACGTTCAGTGAGGCAGCAGGGATACCTTACTACCCTCACGTTCAATGAGGCAGC